AATAATTCCAACGTCAACCAAGGACCCCCGGCCCCGCCAAATGCAGTTGGTTTCCGGTTGGTTTCCCTGAACACCCCCTCAAATTGGAGGGTTTTTGGCTGTTGGTTTGCCTGCAAATGGGTTTTCGTTTTGGCTTCCCTTAACCGTGTGGTTCCCGACAGGGGTTTCCTCTCTTGGTTTCCCTCCAAAGAACTTGCTGGTTCGATAGGATGAGAAATGGAGTCTGACCCCAAAAAGTGTCCATCCATCCGAGTTGGGAAATTGAAGGGAATCCCACATTCCCAGAACGACCCGGAAGGTCATGCCCTGCCAGTCGCACCAGCAAAGCCATGGCAACTTGCTTTGAAGTCTCCTCGCCTTGGTTTTTTGAATCGGAACCCAAAGTGCTTGGGAAAAATCACAAAGCCAAAAGGGTACGAATTCCGCCTGGTAGATTCTGATCGGGCGTCCCATTGTGATCCGGATCTCGTTCAGGGGGGATGGTTGGGCCGAGATATGCTCAAACATGGAGAGCGGTTTGGAAGATAACTGTCCTTTTGTGGCAGGGAGTTGCCCTGAGGTAGCTGCAGCCCTGTATGCTGGGATCTTGATCCGCACACGTTTGCACATGCTGAGTTTTCCTCCGCATTTGGATACCACAAAGCTGCAAAAGATGTGACATCAAAACACCCAGGGTCTTCTGTGATACAAGGGAACCTTCCCCTTTATATGGGGGGTTAGTCTTTGGGAAGCCATTTCTGTTGTATCACAGAAGTGGTCATTTTCCACAGCCCTGAAAACACCTGACAGCGCAACGCGCCTTCAAGTTGCAGGCTTTTGGTGCGGCCGGCCCTGGCACGGGCTTTGCTTTTTCCGCTTGTCCATAGGGTTCCATTGTGGGCACCGATTCCGATGTTTGAGCCCCAGGGCTCCACTTTTTGACCCCACAATAGACTTAGCCCAGGGGTGGTTGACGTCCTTCAAAGGGAAAACTTCTGGGTTTCACTCTATCTCGGGGTAGTCAAGTGGGCAATTTTGTGGAGCCCCGCCCCGCCCACCCGCCCACCCGTTCCCCGTTCCCCGATTTCTTCGGGATCGGAAGCGAGCGGAGCTTCGCTGGACTGCTGTTGGGTTGGATTTTTAGACTTTCACTTTTTGGGAAATCAAATTGGGTTTCAAGAAGAACCTACGAAACAGTTTTTTTTTAGAAAAAAAGAAAAGAAAACGAGAAAACACTTTTTGCAGAGGGGCCGTTACTAAACCTTTGGCAGAGGGCTCCTTACACAGCAATTCCCCGTTGGGAGCTGAGGATCGAGATCGCGCGGGGCTACGACCAGCTGGCCTTCCGTGAGGATTTGAAGAAGCTGCTGACGGCGGCGGGGGGCAAAGGGGAGAAGACGGTCTTCCTCTTCTCTGACTCCCAGCCACTTGGCCAGGGTCCCCCAAAAATTTCCCTTTGGGCGAGATTTAAACATCACCTTTTGGGCCCAAGGTCAGTGTCCCTTGGTGGGGGTGGTGTTTTAAGGGGAAATATAGGGAGCCCTGTTGGCGCCTCGAGGCTTTTCAAAATCCAAAGCCCGGTTATCCCCAGAAAGAACAACTTGGCCATGGGCTTTTCAGCCACATGGCAGAGATAAATAAAGGCAGCTGGCTGATGCAGGAGCCCGGAGCCCTGTGTCTGACAGCCCCCAGTTACTAAAATAGGCTCTACAATAGGCTCTAAAATGGGTGGTGAATTCACATACCCCAAAACGGGATAGGTTTGACAACCACAGCCACTTGGCAGAGCTTCGCTGCCCAAACATCCGCCGGCTGGGAGGGGCCCGGAGTCTGACAGCAGAGTTGCGCAGGTGAGGTTCGCTTCCGCCCCTGCAGCATGTTGAGCCATGGTTCAGGGTTTCACATCAAGGGGGGCAAATTTCGTCGAAAAGCTTGGGTGGCTCCTATAAATTTGGCTGCTCAGCACCGCTTCTAGAGCAATTCTCCAAACATGGATCCTGAGAAGGGGACCACACCCCACCCACCCTCCAAGAGCTTGTTTCAATATGCCCTAGGCCCCCTGTCGATTGGTTCCGATGAAACCCCTGAGCCACCCGGTTCGCAATGACCGCACCGAGCCTTCTCTTGGCTCAGGATCAAGAGCGAGGGCTTTGTGGAGGACGTCGGGCCAGAGGTTTGTCATGCGCTTCCTGGTTGACCTGGTGGTTTAATTTCATCTACCAGGGAAGCCCATCTATTTCCCATAAAAGGGCACCTATGGCAACAATGCAAATGGGTCACAAGATGGATAGTTGAATGGGGTTTGTCTTGTTCTTGCTGATGGAACCATTCAAATCTGAAACAGTGAAAGAAGATGGAAGTTGTGAAAGTAGTAAGAAGTACAAAAAAATAGGATTGTTCCCAGACCCCCTAGTTGACAGGCTGAGGCGGGTTGGTCCAGCCCATGGCCTCAGCTTTGCCGGCCGATTCGAAAACATCAGGCGCCACAGCCCGGTGGTCCTCACCGATTCGGATCTGGCAGACCCCCTGGCAGACCCCCTGACCCCCTGGCAAAAGGGCAAAAGGGGCACCTCATTGTTGCAGAACCCCCGTTTCTGGGAGTGGTGAAAAGGGGGGGGAGGTTATGGCAGGTTCCAGTGCCCATGGAGAAACCAACTCTTGGGCGTCAGGTGGGCCCGTAGGTTTTCCGCCTTCCCCTGCGCGGTGTATATGTTGTGGTTTTGGGTCGGGCTGGGTCCCGACTTGATTTGTTCCCTCTGTTGGGTTCCCATTGTTAGTCACTCCAACAGGTGATCACCTTTCATGTCTGGGCCCCCCAAAGCTGTGCCCTTTTTTGTCTTGTTTCGTTGGCTCATTTGGGGCAACAGCTGCTGAAACAGGCCCGTTCCATCTTTTTTTTTGGGGGGGGGGCCCCGTTTGGGGCAACGGAACGGCTGAGTGTGCCAGAGGACCCATGCCTGGTTGTTTTTGGGGGGCAACTGAGTTGAGGCCCGTGCGGGTTTTCGGGGCCCGTTTGGGGCGCATGGGGCCACCGGCTGTGTGAGAGGACCTGAACAATCTGCTGCTGAAACAGAACCCGTTCCATCTTCTTCTTTTCTTTTGGTCTTTTTCGGGCCCGTTTGGGGCCCATGGGGCCACTGAGTGCAGGACCTGAACAATCTGCTGAACACCGGGGAGGTGCCTAACCTCTTCGCCCCGGACGAGCGGGTCCAGGTCTGCGAGATGGTGCGCGCGGCCGCGCGCCAGGAGGGCAAGGCCCCGGAGGGCACGCCCAACCAGCTCTACGGCTACTTCGCGCCTCAGCCAGAAGCCCCTTAAAAGGGCACCCAGGGTCGGTGGGAGGGAGGGGGAGGCAGCTTCTTCTTGTTGTTTGTTCTTTTGGGGGCGGGGAGCAGGTTAAAAGTGAACTCAGGGTATGAACGGTGGGAGGGCTTCTCCTTTTAGCTTTGGAGGGATCACCTGGACTTTACATTTGTTTGGAAGACAATTTGAGTGGCGTGGTGAAAGCGAAGTTGAGAATGTTGAGACTTTTTCTGGCCAACCCACTCAGGATGTGAGGGGGACTCAATCACACAAGTTTGGGCTTTCTTGTGGCAATCCACTCAGAAGTTCAGGAAGTTAGTGAAAATGAGCCGCTTGGGCTTCTCAACCTCACTTTCGCGCTGGGTGGTTTTGTGAAAGTGCCATATGATGGTTCTTTGGAGGCTTTTTCAAGGCTGCGTATGATATTGTTCCACCTGCAGCCGTTTTTTTCAATTCGCCACAAGGTTCAGGCATCGTCTTATTCAGGCACCTGCCCCTTACAATAACAGACATTCTTGATACCTTCAGAACTCTTACATGAGAATGTTTGCTTGGGAATCTCTGAAGATGCGAGGAAGTCATGCCACCATTATTTGAGCCAAGTTCATTTCTTTGTCCAAACAGCATGGAAATCACATGGGGGGCATCGAATCAACGGTGGCATCGGCACTCATTTATGCAATGACACACCGCCAGGAGTTATACATGCATTCCCGCAGGGCCATCCATGTTGCACCGGATAAGGACATGAGGTTGATGCAACCTTCTCTTGCCACCGTCAAACAAGACATGAGCCACAATCAAAACCCGGGTAGATGAAGGTTAGTAAGGGACGATCCCAGCCAGAAATAGTTGCAGCCGCCTTCTAAATTCTTTACATGGTTCTGGGTCGACCATGTTTGTACCAGGTTTTGAGTATGACTCACATGTTGATGTTTTGTGTACCTCAGTTAAAGCCAGCCTCTAGCCCTCTCCCAAGGGTCTGCAGCAATCAAACCAGAGTGGAAAAAGGCCGCAGGATTGATATCTAAAATCGGCCCCTCTTGCTAAGTATGATTTGAAAGGGAAACCCACCAGTCATGAAGAGGAGGATATTTGCACTATTTGACGGGCCGAAAATTCCGAAGTTTAACTCTCCCAGGCATTGCCATTTTTCTACAGTTTGCAAGCCCCGCCTATTTGTTGAATGCGAGTATTCCAGAGGCATTGACATGTTTCTACAGTTTGCACACCCCGCCTTATTCAACTCAGCCATGTCCTTTGCCACTCAGGTGGAGAGGTGCAGCAAGATGCTGGCCATTGTGCTCTGCTTCTCCCCCATCGGCGATGCCTGGCGTGCCCGGATCCGGCAGTTCCCCTCCCTGGTGAACTGCTGCACCATCGACTGGTACACCGCGCCTCGATTTGGTTTGACCCCTTGCCGCCAGTTCCCCGTTCTTCCCTTGGGGCGTGGGGGCTGTTTTTTTATTCTGCTTTTTTTCCCCAACAGCTGAAAGCTTTGGGGGTCTCAGCCCAGATAGGCTCCAAAAAGTTCGGGGCGACCCTGAGCTAAGGTTCCACCAGGGTTCCACCAGGGGGTTCCACCAGGGTTCCACCAGGGGTTCCACCAGGGTTCCACCAGGGTTCCACCAGGGTTCCACCAGGGGTTCCACCAGGGTTCCACCAGGGGTTCCACCAGGGTTCCACCAGGGTTCCACCATTCCACCAGGTTCTGCAAGGGCGGGGTGGTCTGGGGTGGTTTGAGGTAAGGTTCCATGAGGGTTCCACCAGGGTTCCACCAATTTCTTTGAGGAAGGTTCACGAGGGTTCTGCTAGGGTTCCACCAGGCTGGGGTGGTCTGGGTGGTTTGAGGTAAGGTTTCACGAGGGTTCCACCAGGGCTGCAGGGTGGTCCGGGGTGGTTTGAGGTAAGGTTCCATGAGGGTTCCACCAGATTTCGCCAGGGTTTCACCAGGTTCTGCGAGGGCTGCAGGGTGGTCCGAGGTGGTTTGAGGTAAGGTTCCACGAGGGTTCCACCAGGTTTCCACCAGGGTTCCACCAGCCGTCGTGCTCCGGACAAGGGTTCCATTCCACCAATTCCTTCGAGGGTGCGGCGTGGTCCGGGGAAGGTTCCACGAGGGTTCCACCAGGGTTTCACCAGGGTTCCACCAGCGGTCCGGGCTGGTTTGAGGTAATGTTCCATGAGAATTCCACCAGAATTCCACCAGGTTTTGCAAGGTAACTAGCAGGGTCCCACGAGGTTCTGCGAGGGCTGCGGGGTGGTCCGGGGTGGTTTGAGGTAAGGTTGTATGAGGGTTTCAGGGTTCCACAAGATTCTGCGAGGGCTGTGGGCCCTTTCCACAAAGCTCTGCAAGGATTCCACACGGGTTCCACAAGGCCCCACAATGCTCCACCAAGGGTGTGTCGTGCGCCCGTCGCTTGAAAAGCCAGATCGCTTTGCTCATGGGCGGAACACTAAGCAAAACCGAAATCAATGTTTTTTAGCACACTTTCACTGTTTTGTGTCGCTGCGGAACTCACGGTGCAGCAGAGTAAATGCTTGGCATTGCTGCTTGGTTCCAAGAATTCCACGAGGCTGCGAGGGCTATGAGGTCAGAAGGTTTCCACCAAATTGGCAGCCCTGAGGAAAGGTTCCAGCAAAGTTTCACGCTGAGCTTCACGAAAGTTGCGTCAGAACGGTTTGCGAAATTCACCGGCCTACCCGATTGCACTGTCGGGGCGCACCGTTTGGGCCCGATCGGCCCCGATTGCGCCATCGCGCCCCGATCGGGGCCCGACTCAGTCGGGCCCCGTCAATTGTACCAAGCTGGCATCGCCTAGTTTTGCTATAAATACAGTTGCAATCCGCATGCTAAGGAAAACCGGCGTTGAGCTATAATATGGGTGGCTGGGGTTGCACCACGGGACGATCGGGGGCCCGATTGCACCGTCGGGCCCCGATCGGGCCCCGATTGCACCGTCGGGCCCCGATCGGGCCCTGATTGCCCGATCGGGCCCCGATTGCACCACTCGATTGCGCCGTCGGGCCCCGATCGGGCCCCGATCGCGCCGTCGGGCCCCGATCAGGGAGGATGGTCCCGGGGCATTCCGCGAGGATTCTGGGAGGGTGTGGTGCTGTTGGGGATATTGCCCAAGCTTATGTGTTTTTCTTCTTTTTGTTCTCCTCCCCCTCCCTCAATGCGACCGGGGCGTTCCAGTTTGCTTGGACACGGAGCACTGGTCGGGTGTGTGGGCATTAGCCTCTTCGATGGATGTTACTTGGGTTGTTGGGGGGGATGACTTGAGGCACGGTAGTGATTAAAGGCATGCACGGGCCACGCCCACACAATTTTGTCAGGTGCCAGTGAAGCACCCCAAAATTGCTGGCCTGGCCATGGAAGAGAGGGGGAGATGGGCAAGCACGTTTCGGTCCTTTCCGGTATTTGTTTGAGTGGGCTCACCCCTTTATGCGCCCGGACATGGTTTCTCACAGCCATTCCCAAGTATAACAGGCTTTTCAACTACAGAGTTCAATCCGATGTTTTCTTAGTTTCTACTCGTCTCGCAAGGGGTTTATACTGGCCCTGGACTGTTCAGAAAGGGGTGTAGCTGTTGCCTATTTTTTCCCGTGACACATATTTGCATGCCTGGCCTTTCTTCTTTTTCCTGCTGGGGATAAACTTGGGCCAACGTTTGTGCGCATTCTTTGCTGAACCTGTGCCAGTCATGAAGGTCTCAAGAAACACCAGCCATCAATAGGGAGCATTGCAGTTGTCGCTCCCAGTTTTTGCCCCGTGCGCCCGACTCATCTTTCTCCCGCATACAGACGTCTGCTTGGATGCTACTTCGGGGTTTAACAAGAGGGATGTCGGATGTAAGGAACTACATGTCAAATAAGGTGCCTTAATGTGCTCCCTTTACATGCCAACAATTTCCCTGCCATACTTCTTCAAAGCTGCATCTGCGTGCGCCACGCGTCACTGGGTCATGACATTTAACCTCACTCCAAGGGAACCACGAGGAAATCAACAGGAAATTGATCATTTGCACACGTTTATGATTTCGAAGTCTTTCAGGTCTAAACACTTGCCCTGAAGTAACCCACGAGATGCATTGTTCATTGTCCCCTACCCTTCACTGATCAGTATTCGACACGCGGTTGATGCCATTGTAAATTTCTTGCAGAAAGCGACTTGGCAAGTTCGCCGTCTTTGATGCTTTGTGGGTAAAGTCCTCCAAAGGACGCATCAAGGGGATATTATTTGTGTGTTTGCAAGTTGCGAGAGGAATCCACTTGGGATTGTGTATATTATTTGAGAACGGAAAAGGGAAACCTTCCGTTCGCTTGCAAGTTCCCCCACGAAGAGGAGGCCAACAGTGGATGTTCTAGGGAGCGGCCAATTGTTTTCCCTGTGTGCAGCGATTTGGAAAGAAGCAGCCACAGGAAGAATCTCAAGATTTGCTTTCTTTGGGTGTGGTTTTCTTTTTTGGCAAGGTCCCCCAAAGACCGTCGCTAGAGGGTGGGTAGTCAAACGTAATTCCCCCAGAAAGTGGAAGCCAAGAGGGGATGTTGTTTTCCTACCCCTACAAAAACCAAAAAAGGGTGCTGTGCGTTGCTTTCCTATTGTTTCTTTTGCTTTGGGGAAGGGGGGTGGACGGGGGCCATGGCTTCCAGTCGGAGTCACTCATCAGGAGTGGCCCTCGGACGCGCTGGTAGCGGTGGCGGAGCGCTTTTTGGGCCAGGTGGAGATGGAGGAGCAGGTCCGCAAGCCGCCCGGCGGCGCTTTTGGGAGTCGGTCCTTCGCCTTTTGGCCGGGGGAGGATTTTTATTGACTCACTTGCTGGGAGAAGTGGACTTCAAACTTTTTTCGGGGGTTGGACCATTCTAAGGGTAAATAGAAAGTTCTGACTTTGTTTGGGCAATCCGCTCGTGAAGTGAATTGAGGAGGGAGTCCCAATCAAGGGACGGGGTCAAGGTTGTTCCAATGTTTGGGCGTACGTGGTTTTCAATGTGTGTGCCGTGGGAGGGGGGGAATTTGGTTGGTGTTCAACTGTGATTCTCATTCTGGGAAAGCCTCACGGTGGGACGCCCAAAGGACAGCAATTGAAGGACGACGTGTCATGTCTCCAATCGAGTGGGCCCCAAAGCCAAGCGCGATCGGTTTCGAGCCGAAGCTGAGGAGTTGTGTGGAGATGTGCTCCATTTTCCACTCTCAGACCACGGAGCTCGCGGTGGAGTTCAAGACTCTCAGCAGAACCAGTTCCAGAGAGCCAAGGGGCCAATTTCTGCAAGTCTGTGTCCAGAGGGCGAATGGTGGTTGCTCAGTATGTGTTTGTTTCCGTTTGAATTCTGAGATTCTCTTCAGGGTCGACCAGTTTTTCCATGGCAGGGCAAGCAGTGGATGGAAGGGCGGACGGGCGGAAGGGGTCGCTTTCCTGCAAAGGTGGCATTTGGAAAGCGCTCACCCTTTTCAGGGCACCTTTGACGCCTTTCGCATATCCGACTTGAGCCAGCCGACCCAACACAACACCCCAAAGTCATAAGACGTCTCCGCCTCTCAGCGCGTGCCCTGCGACGTGGGCTTCAGCTCTCAACTTGTCATGACTCGTTTCTAAAGTCAAGCGTTGGGATCCATGTCCACCTCGCATATCACACCCCCTGGCCTCACATACCCGCTGGCCTTCCGCAAAGTAGCTTGCAACAGAATTCCAAGAGCTCCACTTCAGGGGGTGCTGTTCCTTGTTCATGACTCATTCTCCTTCGGGAGCACGGGTTTGCAAACCACGGGCGTGGGCTCTTTTTTTTTTTATCGGGCCAGCCGCGCTAGCCGAATTAATGGCTCCCCGGGAAAAAATCGCTGAGCTCCAGGAACAGCCTGAAGCGCATCTACTACGCCACGCCCACCTCCTTCCTGGAGCTGATCAATACCTTCAAGACCTTGCTGGCGGCCAGACGGAAGCAGGTCACCGACCTTAAGGACCGGGATCCGGCCGGAAAAATCGGAAGGTGCTGGCGGTCTGAAGTCCCACATGGGGTGAAAAACTGGAAGCCAGGAATTGGACGTTTTGAGCTCATGTTTCCACTTCGGGCAATCCATTTGTAGGCTTTTTTTTGACCCGCACCGATTCAAGAACAACTTGTTTGTGTTTAGCTCCATGTTTCCACTTGCCGGGGCAACTCAAATTTGGGCCAGCGATTTCTTCGACCGCACGCACCGAAAAAGCACGTGCGGTCCGCGGTCCGCAGGACAAGTATGAGAAAGGCCTGGACAAGATCCTCACCACCGAGCAGTCGGTGGAGGGCATGAAGGTGGAGCTGATCAACCTCCAGCCCAAGCTGATTGCTAAGCCCCTGCGCATGGAAAACCCGGGAAGTGCACGGAGAAGCCTTTCGTTGTCATAGGCGTGTGTTTTTTAGGGTAGTTTAGAAATAGACGGGTTCCACTGGTTTAGATGGGATTGGGTAAACTCTGCCAGGGCCATCTTCTTTTTTCAAAAGGTCACCTATGTTCATTGATTCTCTCTGGGATGCTAATATCTTGCGAAGCCAAGAAGCCCAGAAGCTATTCCTCTCCGCCGCCGGTTTGCGGCCGGTAGATAGCGGAAATTGGCAAGCATCGCCCCAATGATTGCACACCGACATTGGGTTCCCAGAATGAATTGACTGCATTTGGCGATCCTTGGTGGTGTTGCCTAGCTTGGTCGCAAATCCAAAGCAAGGGGCTCCCGGAGCCTCTCGCAAGGCGTGCTCATGGTTTTCATCGAGCCCGCAAAAGAGATGAATCCTTTCGAGATGATTTTTCCAGACCGCACGGGACAAAAAACCACAAAAAAAACAACAACAAACGGTCGAAATGTGTTCTTCCACGACACCCGAGGGCGCGGCAGGGAAGGGGTTCAAGCAGGATGAGGGGCAGTCTTCAAATCAAAATGCCCGCAGCCAGCTTCCCTCTAGCCAAGACACGGGGCAGCTGAGAATTTGTTTTGCTTCGCGGAGGTGTTGCCCTTGCTACCACTTGGGGATTTGGGAAACAGTTTAGTCTCCAACACCTGGGAAAAATCTGGATGAAGCTCCCATTTGAAAAAAACATGGGAGCCCTTCTGGGATTTCTGGGATGAAACTGCAACTCTTCCAACCACTTGGCGAGTCCCGAGCCCCCGAGGAACGAGGAGGTGGAGAAGATGATGGTGGTGGTCGGCGAGGAGTCCGAGAAGACCGCCAAGGCCGGATCCGCGCCGCATCGCGCCGCCGGGCGACCTTTTGGCCACCGGGCCTTTGTGCGGGCGAGGGCGATGGCTGGCGCGGGCGGGCGCGGGTTCGTGTGTTCGTGTGTTTGTTCCTGTGTTTTTTTTTGGTCTCACTATGCGCTATGGCGGCTTGACTTGAGGGATGCTTCGCACCAGAGTCTCGGCATTGTAGGGAAATATGGGACACCCAGATGCCAGTGCGACTAGCGCAGACACGCTGCGTGAACCTATAAACCTGCAGGGTGTGCGGAAGCTTGCAAGGACGAGATTCCTTGCCAACAATGACTGGGTAACAATCGACGTATTGACAGACACACATGCATAATTTTATACATGGATGGACATATTGTGTTGTCATTGGATGGAGGAGTGCGCAAATGGACGATTGGACACTCAAGAGCTTGTGATACCTGAGTCTAGGTGAGTCTATGTGAGTCTAGCTGTACATATGTTATACAGCGATGACTGATTCTCAGGCCGCGATGTTTTTTCATTTGTTTGCGTGTTCACCCTAGCTTTCGTTTTTTCCTGGACATCGGCTGGATGTTGAGACAGGCCAAACCGCGCTTTTAGCCACGGCCAAACGGCTCCAAGTGGACCGCTGGACGGCAACTTTCTAGGGTTGATTCCATTTTTATTTTTTTCAACCCTGGTTCTTTTCAAAAACCAGCCGTTTGCCCTGGGTTTCCGGAGGTTTTCTAGAAAGATCCGGATCCCTGGAAAGAATGGAATTGGAAGCTAGCCTTTGAATTGTACCAAGAGTCAAGCACGAAACAAGAGATGCATCCTCCAAGCGCTTGAGCTACCCCATCGCCTCCCCCGAATTGGAAGGTCGCCCTGGGGTCGCCTCGTCGGGTCCCGGTCCCGTGCCTTCCAGGTGAAGGAGTCGGTGGCGGCGGACGAGGCGGTGGCCTCCGAGGCGGCGGCCAAGTCGGAGGCGCAGAAGGCGGAGGTGGAGGCTGACCTGGAGGAGGCTGGGGGGAAGGGGGGTGGGTGGGGGGGGGTAGGGGGGGTGGGTAGGGGGGGTAGGGGGGGTGGGTAGGGGGGGTGGGTAGGGGGGAAGGGGGGGTGGTAGGGGGGGGGAAGGGGGTGGGTGGGGGTGGAGGGGCAGGGGCGGTGGTGGGGGTGGGGGTGGGGGTGAGATGAGGGTTGCTCCATTTCCCCTTTTTCGGAACCTTCCAACGGTGGCAAGGTGCCACTAGTTAAGAAATGTGACGGTGAAAATCGGGGGTTGGCGCCAACTTGAGAGATGTGTAGCTGTTGCGGAAAGCCATTGTTGAAACCTGTATGAAGACACATCCTGAGAAGGGCGGGTGGAGAAGGATTTCGACAAAGCTTCTGTGTTGCTGCAGAGGGCTAGAGAGTTGCAGTTGCCGGGCTCTCATCATCCCACGATCTGTCCTCATTCATGTAAAATCCGGTTTGGAATTATTTTGTTGTTTGTGGTTTCCTGAAGTCTCCTTCCCTCTGGTACTTACCCCCACTCCCACTAACGTGGCACCGTGGCACACAGACATTTCCCAAAAGGAAGATTATCTTCTGGGTGCCCTCCCGCCCTCCCCGAGCTGCCTTCTGTTAGGGATCGTATTCCTGTTGATTTCTGTTTTCTTGCGAGTTGGAATGGACCTTGTTCTGGGATTCCCTTTCTGGACAGGAAAAACAACTTACTAGTTGGGAATAGACACTTCTCGGGGTCAGACCCATAACTCCCATTCCCTACATCTCTCGTACCGATCGCATTTTTGTCAGGGTCGTGCTTGAGTTTGTGGATTTGCGGGGGGGCGCAAGGACACCAACATGTAAGGAAACCGACCATTTTAACTCCGGGAACCTAGAAACCAGCCGCAACAATAATTCCCTAAGTCCAATATTATGATCTTTCCTTTAAAAAAAATGTGTCTCATACATAAATATCATAAACTCAATATACTGAACGTTCGCTTAGTTATTTTGTCATTTGCAAATTCAATATCCTTCATGTGTTTTTAGAAATCAAGGACACCTATGACTACTGGACATATTTTTTCCAGGGGGCGAAGAAGCAAATGGAGGTAACATCCAATCTGCTTTCTCCTCGCTGCACAGCCACCCTCAGGCCATGCCGGCGCTGATGGAGGCCTTGGGAGCGCTGGACACGCTCTCGGCCAAGGACATCGGGGAGATCAAGGCCATGAAGAACCCCCCGGGCCCCGACGCTTCGGCGCAAGACGCGGTCCGGTCTCCACGTTGTTTACGTTGTTTTCGTGGTTTTCTTTGATTTGTTTTTTTTGGTGTCTTCTTTTTTTGTTCCTTCCCTTGGTTTTTTTGTTTTTCGCTATTATTGTTATTTGTTAAATTTATTTATTTATATTTATTCCAGAAATATTGTTTGTTTGTTGTTTTTTCTTTTGGTGTTTCGGAGGCTCGGTAAATGGCCAGTTCATCGGGGATCAATCGTTTTTAAAGGGTTTGCCGGAATGCATGATGCGGGGGGGCCCAAGCTGGGGAGCCAACGAACGTACAGTGATATGCCCCAAAGGGCAATGTAACAAACTGCATGTGCATAGCCATATAGATTCACATTATACATATATGTATAGAGATATGTATGTCTATTTATTTATGTCTTTATGTGTTTATTAGTTATTTACAGTTTGTTCTGTTGTTTCTGCAGAGCTTTTGTTTCCTTACAAGCCAGATGGGCCAGGTGGGAGCTTGGCGCATAGCAGCCTTGCTCCGAGGTGAAGCTGGTCTTGCAGGCGGTGTGCATCATGAAGAGCCTGAAGCCCAACCGCGTCAAGGACGAGTCCGGGAAGATGGTGGAGGACTACTGGGGCCCTTCCGAGCCTTGGGCTGCAAAGTCCCAGCTGGAGGGGCTGGGGCTTTTGATGCCGGGGGTCAGTATGAGTCGGTGGCTGGTCTTGGGGCAAGTTACGGCAAGGTGCCGCAGGATGATTTTCTTGTTGGGGCATCCGAATTACAGGTAGCAGGGAGCGAGGCGCTGAAGGCACGAGCCGGTCAAGCTCTTTGGGCGGTTCATCGAGTGTTCAAAGGGAGGGGAGTCCAGAAACGTGGGGTTTCCGCAACATGCGCCCCGTCATCGGCCCCATAGCCTAAACCCAGAACCCTTGGATACCCTTCAGGGCCGCGTGCCGCCTGTGGTCCTCGCGTTTTTCTGTGGCATTCGGAGGGCGCTTCCGTCCGAGGTGAAGATGGTGGGCGAATCGGACTTCCTGAGGTCTCTTCAGAGCTTTGAGCCTTGCAGCAAGAGGGAGGATGCTGCAGTAGGGAAGTCGCCCTGGACGTGCGTGCCAGACGTGCGTGCCAGCGATTATTTTTTTCGACTGGTAGAGCAAGATGAGATTCAACGATTCAGTAGTCCTCAAACATGGCGCCCTGTTTTGGCCAGAAGCGCCATGTTTGGGCGTGAAATGGTGTGGTGCAGCTGTTCGTTGCTGTTCGCAGACGTGCAGCCAGGTCACCAGACTGAACAATACTGCGGTTGCTTCTTGAAGCAGTTCGGTGAAGATGGTAGGTGAAGATGGTAGGAGTAGATGAGGTCTTTCGGTAGGTCAGGGGCTGGCGTCCATGCCTACAGCTGATTTGTGCAAGTCTACCACCAATTCAGGGAGTACCCCCCTGCAGGTGAGTCCCCAGTGTCATTTGCCTTTGTTGGCTGGAGCTGCCAAATGAAAAAGCTTGCCGGCTGAGGACAAAGACAACATCCCGCCAGCTACCATCAAGAAGATTGCCACCTTCATACCGATGGATGACTTCCAGCCGGCTCGGGTGAAGAGCCCCTGCAGCATGTTTAGACCCAGGCGGTAGCAGCGCAGGAAGAGCAACAAGGTATGTGCTGGTTAAAGCTGCATGGTCTTTGGGCAAAGTGGTCATATGGCCATGGTTCAAAACCAATGTACCATTTTGGGATAGGTGCACCACCCAATTTTAGTCTATTGTAGTGGGGATTGGGATGTTCACTGGGGGTACGGGGTTTTGACCCATTGCCATATGGGGCGCCAAGTGTGTTTAGAAGAAGTAAATTGCCAAAGGCCAGGTCGGTCATTGAACTCCCAACCACTGCGAGCAGCCAAGGACATGCAGTACAGCAGCCTGGGGCATTTGCATGCGCCGCGGCAGGAATGGTTGGAGGACCTGGGTTTAGCCGTTAGCTTTTGTAGGGAAAAAAACCACCATGATCCCCTCAACGCGAAGAACTCCTTTTTAAGTAAACTTCTGAACAAAGCGGTGGGCGAAATGGTGGGAAGTCTGAACCTCGAGGGAGGAGCTAAGCTTCGCAGATCTCAACCCATGTGGCGGTTTGAGCATGCAGATGAATACATTCAAATATGCTGCACATGTAGGCGCTGCATATGTACACAATGTTGACCCCATATGAATCAACCCCAGTTGGGTGTTGTTGGGTTTGGGGAATCATTACTTTGGGAGGGCCCCCCATCCCCCTAGCAAGCTGGGGTTGATGAATATGGGGTCACAATGATCAAGTGCCACGGCCTTAGGCCGTGGTAACCTCCCCCTTGGTGTGGCGGGTGCTGCTTGCCCGAGGTGGGTCAGGGCCATGGAGACCTACGACCGCGTGGCCAAGGTGGTGGGACCCAAGAAGGAAGCGCTGGCAGTGGCAGAGGCGGAGTACGCCCAGGCGCCCACCGGGCGCCGACTGGGCGGCGGGGGTGTCGGCCGGCAGGGGGGAGTAGGGGTTGAGGGGTTGGAAGTATGCCAAAGCATTGGACCATGCAACCGATTAAAGTTGTGATTGTTGTGTTCTAAAGGTACTCTATGGTACTCTTGTACCATGCCCAAATGTCAAAATTGAAATGGACTCAAGTCCTTATGTCCACGTTTGTGGGATGCTCGAGCTGTACTCCCCCCATTCTTTCCGGCTACCCAGACAATTGTCAACAATTCAGGGAATTGAATGGTGTAGGACCATGTTTCTTTTCTTTTATAATTCTCGCATGGTTCTGGACTCGAATTGTAACTTCTGATTCCTGATTCTTGCGGGTAAGTTGGGTTCCCCACCCAACGAAAAATGAAAGCCACCAATCCAAATCAAACCACCCAAACCATCCAAACCACCCGAAACCACCAAAACCACCCAAACCACCCAAACCATCCGAACCACCCGAAACCACCCAAACCACCCGACACCACCCACAAAAATCCAAACCCCCCAAACCCCCCAAACCCATCCAACCCATCCAACCCATCCAACCCATCCAACCCTCTCCTCCCCCCCAACCCCAAACCCCCCCAAACCACGGCAAACCACGAGGGTGTTCCCCCAACGCTGTCTGTGTCAGTCGCTTCAGGTCATGGAGAAGCTGAACCAGAAGCGCGCGGAGCTGCAGAAGGTGCTGGACCAGCTGGCGGAGCTGGAGGGCCAGCTGAACGGTTTGAAGGCGGAGAAGGACGACCTGGCCTACCAGGCGGTTTGGGGTTTGGGCTGGAGGGGGGGTTGGAGGGGTTGGGGGGGGTTGGAGGGGTTGGGGGGGGTTGGGGGGGGGGGGAAGGATGGGGGGGGGTTGGATGTTGGGGGTTGGATGGGGGTTGGGGGGGTTGGGTGATGGGTTTGGAGGTTGGGGCTGGTGGGGCTTTAGGCTTAGGGGTCGGATGGATTGGGGGTTTGGGCTCAAGGCGGGTAGAGTCCACAACTATGCGACTCAGACTTGTGAACACCCAAAAAACAATTCTCTTTCTGCGCGCAAGTGACTGAGCCCATCTGGGCCCCAAGCGCCTCGGCTCGGGCAAATCAGTTGACTCAGGTGGACCTCTGCAAGAAGAAGCTGGACCGCGCGGAGACGCTGATCGAGTCCCTTGGGGGCGAAAAGGTGCGCTGGACGCAGAACGCCAAGGACTTGGCGGTGGACTACGCGGCTCGGCCTCACCGCCTTGAGCCGATCCATTTATTTTGGGTAAGAACAGTTGTTGTTGTTTTTCCCCTGTTGGCTTTTAAAGGGAATCTAGCACGACTGGAAATAATTTTTATTTTTTCCAGGGGACTTAAGCAAATGGAGGGAGGGTTCTGGTGCCCCCGAAGTTGGTTGACTGAGACTTTTGGAAGGGGTTGAAGTCACCCCAAAGTCACCCAGCAAGCGCCAAATGAACGAAAAGGCTCGGACCCAAAGGGGCGGAAGCTGAGTGAGGGCGTAGCTGAGCTCAACATGCGCCTTCTGCCATGTTCTGATTCATGGAGCTTGTGTCCTCTGGTTCTTTGGGTGTGCCGCAATGTTGAGCCCCCTGCAGATCTGATTTTTCCTGGATCCCTGCCCCTAACAATGGCGGCCTCCCTGTTAGGGAGTGACATAAACAATGTGCAAGAAGAATTGGCCAATGTTCAAACTGCTTTGGAGATCTGTGGTGACGCAGTCTCAGAAATTTGAACAGCTGCATGCTGCATGCTGCATCCCAAAGGCATCCAAAGAGGCATCCAAGATTTGCGCTTGGGGGCTCCCTGTTTGGCACTCCATTCGACACTTGAGGTGAACCTGACTGGTGACGTCATCGTCTGCAGTGGGCTCATTGCGTACCTTGGCGCCTTTACGCCAGACTACCGCGAAAAGACGGTGAAGGCATCGACGGGATCGAAGGGATCGAAATCGACCAGGGTGGTTTCGGCGGAGAAAGCGGGTCCCGCGCTTTCGACTTTCGGCGCCCGGAGTCCAATGCCTTCATTTTGCTGGCGCCTGTCACTTGCCTCTTATCAACCACGCGATGGTTTTCCACCGGATGGTTTCTTACCGGTTGGTGACATGTGGGGCTGTTCAGCCGGATGGCCCAAAGAAATGTAACATTGGGGAGGGACCCCTTGGAAGTCCACACAGTGGGATGTTTCTCTTTGGATTGTTTCTTACCGGTTGGTGAGATGCGGGCTGCTCAGTCGGATGGCCCCCCAAAAATGTAACTTGAGGAACCTTGAACGCCCAATGGCCGGGGATGGGGAGGGGAGCCCTTGGAAGTCGAACGTCGGTTTTGAAGCCCCGCTTCCCCAAGGCGGATGCCCCCCAAAGGAAGTCACGGCAGGCCTGGACGGACTTCTCTCTGGAGAAGAGCATCCCGGGCAAGGAGAAGGTCAGCTTGCAGGACGGGGGGTGTCTTAGGATTGCCCGCGTTTTAGTGTTTTACGGGCAGCCCCGAAAAGAAACTCCGGCGGTTTTTGCGGGGAGTCAAGGCATGTCAGTGATTTTTTTGGGAGTCAGAGCATGTCAAAGCCTTTTCCTCGAACGACTCCGGGGAAACCGATGCAAGGGCGTGAAAGCCCCTTCTCCCCGATGGCGAACCACCGAGACGCGGGTCCGCGGCAGGTGCACCTATTTTGGCTTTCCACCAAGCACCCGCGTGAGTGGGACATGCAATGACCCCTGTGTGACATCCAATAGTGCTCCTGGTTCACAAGACACAGTTGTTCGTTGATGCCTTTTGCTTTGCTGGTTCCCTGCCAAAAAAGGTGGATGAATCCCAACAAGAACGGCTCCTTTTGTCTCCTGTCCGGGGTCGCTAGTTCTTCCAGGCTTCCTCATTTCCCTTGTTCCGGTTGCTTTTGTTGTTTTTCTTTCCGACGTGCGTTTCATTTCCTGCCAGAGTCTTTCGGACGTGGATGCGTCCAGGACTGCCTGGGTGAGCCGGTGAAGATCCGGAGCTGGACCATCTGCGGCTTGCCCAACGACGCCTTCTCCATCGAGAACGGGATCATCATCGACAAGAGCCGGCGCTGGCCCCTGTGCATCGATCCCCAGGGCCAGGCCAACAAGTGGATCAAGCCCCGCGGCAAAGAAGGGTTCGGCTGGCTCCAATCAGCCCAACCCAAGAACCTAACACAACCCAACACAACCAACCCAGCAACCCAGCAGCCCAGCAACAGCCCGCCCAACAACATAACACAACCAACCACCTACCTGCCCAACTGCCCATCAGCCCAACAGCAACAGCCGGGGGGCGGGGGGGGGGGGGGGTCTTTTGGGCTGGAGTTGAAGAGGGAAGCAGTGTTTCATGGTCGTAGATGTAGGGAACACGCGTGAGGCCCCAGTTGAAAGGAATTTGCGGGGTGCGGATTGGCGGCCCAACAAAGGGGACACCAGTTTTGGGCATCTTCGACAAATGGGTCAAAACCCCGGTACCCCGGTGAACACTAGAAAGCCTTCAAAACGACAACCGTGGAGTGGTAACCATCCCCATTTTTCTAGGGGACACCTCCCCATTCTTTCCAGGGATCCTTCTTTCCAGAAAACCCACAGAACCCCAGGGAAACAGCGATCGGTTTTTAAAAGGAACGCTGGTTGAAAAAAAGGAACTGGAATCAACCCCTAGGATTGTTTGGCACAGGTCTTGTTTCCCACTTCGGTCCCCCAGTAGTGCCCTCTTTTTTGGGGAGGGTTCCCCTACTAAAATAGACTATAGAAAAAAGTTGGCACCCTTCTTCTAACCTCTCAAATCTGGAGGACCTAGCCACGACCAAATTGCTTGCTGCAGCCCAGGAAGATGGAGGAGCCCAACAAGTTGGCGGTGAAGAAGTTCACGGACAGCGACTACATCCGGCGCTTGGAGGCCGCGCTGCGACTGGTTGTAGTTACCTCAAAGCAACCCTTTGGTCAACTTTTCCCTGTTTTTGGAAGAGTGCTATTGGAACTGTTCATTTGAACCCCTCAAAAGACCTCCTGTGTCTTACAGGGAGATGGTCATGACTCTCTGCATGCTTAGGGTAAAGCAAAACAAAATCAGGTCTGGCCGTGAACTGCGAGCAATGGCTGTGAAACACGGCGATGGCCATTCCTGCACGTCTCTCTAAAAAGTGGTGCTCTGCAAGCCTGGTTCCGACTGGGAAGAAGCCCCATGCGCTGGCCAGTGGGGCCGTATTTTCATTTGCGCGTGCTGCGCAAAAAATCGTGGGACCTCCATGAAAGCGATTGTTGCGAAACCCTTCTTTTTCTGACATGGCACAACAAACGTCAATGTGCAACGTGCCGTTGCACTGTGCCTGGATTTGAAGGCGTCTCGTTTCTCAAACGTCTATGCCTTTTCGCGATGTTGGCATGGTCCTTTCCTGTTTCCTCCTTGCCAAGGTCCCCCGGTAGTGCCCCTTTCACCTCTTTTTTTTGGGGGGGAGAGGGCTACCAAAATAGACGGCAGAAAAAAGAAAGGGTACCAACTTATTTCCACCCTCTCTACAGGACCTAGTTGCTCTCCCCGTCGCCCGAAACTGCGCGTCGAAGCGGCAGTCAGGGCTGCATCACCTACGGCAACCCCATGCTCATCGAGAACATCCTGGAGGAGACCGACCCGGCCATCGAGCCGGTACTTCTCAAGCAGACCTACCGCCAAGGGAACCGCATGATGCTCAAGCTGGGGGAGTCTGTGCTGGAGTACAACAAGGAGCGGATGTTTTGCAGGCTAATGTCCACAAATAGATTCTGTATGTGTATCTTATCTGTACGTGTATGCATGGATCTATGATTTGTTTGCCTCTGCAACATGTTCGCTTTACTCGGCTCTTTTGTGTCAGTTGCCTTTTTGCAATGCCATTCCGGAGCAGTGGTTGCATCAGCGTCAGCCTCGCAACGCATGCCGTTCGTGTTGGGCGTCTTCGGAACCAGCGGGTCTCCCAGCACAAAAGGTGAGTCAAATGCCCATGTCATCCTCAGAATCCGGATCGGCAAGGAAAGTGCACCAAACCCACCACCACATGAGAAACATGTATGCGTATGTTTCTGTGTATCGCCTTCTATATTTACGTGCATGCATAATATGTAAATGTACACATTTGTATTGCGCATGCCTATGCCCACCCATCGCTTAATGTTCACCATACTTTCGCGATATGTTCATGTACATGTCATGCATCGACCCCAGAACTGCGTGAGCCAGTATTGTTTCATAATTAGCCTGACGTTCCTCGATGCCCTGTCTATCCCCAGTTGTTTCCTATTGCGCTTGATGCGGTTCAAGGGTTCATTTGAACTGACATTCAATTATGTGAAAGAACGGTTACATGTGACAATTATGAAGCATATCAAGTGAGATGTGCACGTTGTCTATTTATTGAATAAAAGTGTGACTTTTCAACCGTCATGCTCAGCTCAGCGAGGAAGCGGCATGTCCCTTGTATGTATGGCTAGGGTCAATTTCGATTCGACGCAACTCTTCCCAAATGAGTTCTGTTTCAATTGGCATGTGCATGTGATGCATCAAACTGGTGCTCTGGGCCGGGCCCAAAATAGGTTTTGTTTCCTTTCCCTTCGCCCAATGCTTGACTGCTAGTGGGTTGGATCTTCAAACTTCACTTGGGGCAAAAAAGGGGTTTTCCACTAAACCCCCCCAAAGGTTAAACTTTTTGCAGGGGGGGTCAACAGCAACCAAGAATATGGGTGACCTCAAAAAGAAGAAACACGCCGCCAGGACTTCAAGCTCTATCTCACAACGAAGCTGCGGAACCCGCACTACCTGCCAGAGATCGCCGTGAAGGTTGCTGGTCCAGTTGGGGGTCACCACTCAGTGTCCAACTTTTCTGCGGTTTTGGATGCAAGAAACACTTTTTTTTTCTCATATTTCCTTTCAACCAGCAAAAAGTTTATAACTTTTTTGCTGGGGGATCTACAACCAAGAATTTGTGGACAGCCAATTCGTGGACATCCAACGGTTGCGGTTCCAACACTGTGTTGGAACCCCGCAAAAATAATGTCGAGTGGGGGTTTTCCAGTGATGGGCTGTTCCCGGTTCAATGGTGTCATGTCGAGCTGGGGGCAGAGTGGAATGGTCAGGCATGGCCACCTTCAAATTATTTTATCTTGTGTGTCTACCTCCCCAAAGGTAGTCATGGCTCCGTTCGAGGTTTCTAATCTTGTGCGTCTACCTCCCCAAAGGTAGTCATGGCTCCGTTCGAGGTTTCTAATCTTGTGCGTCTACCTCCCCAAAGGTAGTCGTGTGTGTCTGCCTCCTGTTTTGAGAGGTAAAACAAATCAGGGGCCCTGAAGTTTCACCTGCCATTGTACCCCAATATGAAGGGCAGCCGCAAAAATCCGAGAGACCTGGGCCAACCACAGTGACCTCGCCAGGTGTATCCTCACGATATCCCATGAAGATGTTTTTGTTTTGTTGCTCAAGTTCGGGATCGTTTATTAAAACGGTTTTCGTCTTTGGTGCAGCCAAGGTGTTTCAGGGTTGGAGGTTCTTGTTGCCATGTCTGGGTTGGAACATGTGGTGCCAGGCAGTTAGTTACTGCTTTCGCGAGGTAAATGCTTTGCTATGCCACAAACAAATGGCCTCCAAGCAAAAAAACGCAAAGCCACCGGCGCGCAGCTCGCTCTCGCGGTCCCTGGGCGGGGACCGAAAGGTCACCCTGCTGAACTTCATGATCACCGTGGTGGGTCTGCAGGACGAAGCCGAATCCTTGGGTGACCGGAGCCTTTGGGTTTTTGTTTTGACGCAGGAAGCCCAGAGGAAACCAAGAGGAAGACATGAAGGTGCCCACTTGTTCCCATGGCCACTCTGGGTATATGTACTCAAAGATCCCCGTTTTGGATGGCTTTGTTCCCAATTTGAGCTTAGGGGGGGGGATGCATTCGAGGGAAAGGTACGGGACGTGAAGTCGGGTTGAACTCAAGCAGGTGGCTCAGTCCATTGGAAAAGGTGCAAAACATCAGCGATGCCCAGGGATGTTGAGCCTCCCTTCGCTTTAAAAAAGTTGCACCTGGGGCTTGCAGAGGCTTTCTTTTCCTCCCCTTCTGGCCTTCTGGACGGCGCAGGCAGAGGTCCGTTAGATTTGAGCAGCCATTTGAGACTTGATGCAGACGAACGATGAGTAAAGCCAAACAGCAATGAGTTGGTTTAGGCTCATCGAGCCGAACATCGAGCAGCAAGCCAGTAGACAACGCACTTGCCAGTCCCGCCGTTTGGTGCTTTGATGGCTGCTGAGAGCCTTGCCGCCTCCTGAACAGCCAGACGCCCAAGAAAAACAGGTTTGACATCGTTACTTCACTATGGTCGGGAAGTGGTGGCAGCGAAACAGCGGCTGTAAAAAATAGTTGAGCTTCGAACAACCAGCTTGTAGGCCATCCGAATCATGGATGTCTTTGCAGACCTCCTTTCAAGGCGGCTCTGAATGCCCTGTTTTGGAAAACAAAGAAGGTAGCCAGTTGTGACAACTCGACTGCGCCACATGCTTTCGGCTGGGCACTTTCGACGCATGGCTTTGAGCAAAACATGGCCGACATGTCGGCTGTTCCCCGCACCATTCACCTCCTTGTTTGGACGACCTGCCTTGAGCATGTCCTCCACCACCATTCTTACACTCCAGCTGATCTCCCTTGTTCGATTTGAATGGAAGCTTTAAAAGGGCAAAAACCCTTGGTCATAGGTGTCCTTTTCGCTTGATTTGGTTGAAAAATAGAGGTCCCTGGTTTACCTGGCAATTCAATCAACTACCAGGGCCATCTATTTTCCCAAAAAGGACACCTATGCCCTTGGTTGGTTTTTGCGGATCCCCCCCCAAAAAAAAGCGCCAAAAGCGAGCGACGGATGCGGAGGACCAGCTGCTGAACATCGTGGTGCAGGCGGAGCGCCCGGAGCTCGCGGAGGACAAGGCGCGGCTGGTGGTGGAAGGGGCGGAGAACAAGGCCCAGCTGGAAGAGACCGAGCCACTCGGAGTGGTGGATTGGGCAGGTGTGGTGTAAAAAGTGTGGGGTGGGGAGAGGTTGGGACAGTGGGCTAAAGCGTTAACCGTAGGTGGTCGCTTGTCTTGACTCTTAATAAGTATCCACTTGGGCCACCATTTTGGCTCAAGTGGACCTTTTGATCTTTTGTCTTGTGATTTGAAATCTTTCTTTCCCCTACTCTCAAAGCCATGTACGCCCCCGCCTACGCTGGTGCCGCGGTAGCAGAGGCCAAGGCTAAGGCAAAGGCCTCCATGGCAAAGTACCTGGCGAGCCTCGTGAAGAGGGAGGAAGAAGGATGGACCGTTTTGGCTGCTGAGGTCCCTCAGGCACCTGACGAGCGTTTCTTCTCCAGCGCAGATGAGCTGGAGCAGGCCCCCCTTATCCCGGCCAAGCGCAAGGCAGAGGATGAGCCGATGGAAGATGCAGCCCCTGGGGTGGCGCAGGTGCCGAAGGCCCTGACACGCCCCCCAGGGGCGTTCCTGGAGCTCCTGAACCCGCCGGAGGAGGACGTGCCCATGGAGGAGCTCCTGGCGAAGGACGAGAAGGAGCTGCCGATGCCCAGGTCCTCGGCTGCAGCCCGCTTGGAGGAGGCCCGCCTGGATGCCCGGGCAGACGCCAAGTGGCAGAGGCGCCGGGAGCTGATGGCGAAGGTCAAGGAGCAGGCGTCCTCGGAGGAGGATGAGAACCCCGCAGCCCCCCCGCCGGGGGGGAGCGTGTTCACCAAGGCCCTCAAGGTCTCGGAGGGCCTCTACCAGTTCAGCGACGACCAGATGGCGGGCGACTTCCCTTGCTTCGATGCGACCACGGCCACTAGGCTCCGCCGACTGCAGGCCAAGGACGTCCAGCGGCTCCTGCGAGGCTTTGAGGGCCCCCAACTCAAGCAGGGGGGCCTGGAGCGCGTTGTGGAGGCCTTCTACATCGCCAAGATGAAGTACGAGCATGAGGCCCGGCTCAGCACCCCGGGACAGCAGGTTGGCAAGCGCGCTGGCTTGGGGTACGGGGGCCTGGAGAACCGCCCCCTAACCAAGGTGCCCACATCCTGGATCTGCCCCTGCTGCACCATGCCCTGGGTGAAGAAGGGCGCCACGAAGTGCATGGGGTGCGGCAAGAAGACGGAGCCCATTGACACGGCGACCAACTCGGCCACCCTGGAGATGGCGGGCACGCATTGGCAGTTGACGGTGGATGATCAGGCAATGTGGTTCGATTTGCGTCTGGCCATGTGGTGCCGCGTTCTGATGACCGATCGGGCCCGCGACTGCGGATGCCCGGTTCCGTACCATCCGGCACACTGCTTGGCCTATGAGGGCATGCGCAAGATCGGCTTCCAGAACCTCCCCTGGACGGCCGGCGACGTCCGGCACCTCATGAACCAGGCGGTCACGTTGGAGGTCACCCCGGCGAAGCTCCAGAAGTGGTGGGGCACTTTAAAGTGGCTCTCCATTAAACTCGGCATGCTCAACGTTGACGAACACAAACAACTCCTGGAGAAGCGGAAAGCCATCCAGGAGGCAGCCACAGCGCAAGGCGGTGGTTCCGACCCGGGCAATTGTTTGGGCCCTGGAACAAGGGGCAGAAGGGGCCCCGCCGGAGAACCGGGTCCCGGAGCTGACCAAAGCAGTGGACAGGTACATCATGGCGATGGCCAGGTTCAACCTGGCCTGCAGTGCGCGCTTCAACAACGTGCAGCACACCTCGCCGCAGACGGTCAAGTCCACGAGCAACACCCTGGAACTGCTGGCCTGGCAAACGAAGACCACGTCGGCAGTGGCCATCAAACGGAACCCGGTCCCGCTCATCGCCCCATTGTTCTCCTTCTCGGGGGCCAGATGGTGGATCCACTTGGAGCGGTGGTGGAAGAGATTCAGGGCCTCGGAGGAGTTCCGCGAGATGGACTACCTGATCCCCACGATCAACAAGGACAGGACGGGCTTCATCCCCCGCCCAGGAACCCCAGACAGGTCCCTGAGGTGGCTCAAAGACGCCTTGGGGAAGCAGGGCGCGCCAGTCAAGGACGTGGCTGAACTCTCATGGTACTCCTTCCGCATTCCAGGCGCACATACCGAGGGACCAGCGCCAGTACCTGGGAAACTGGTTCAAGGAGTCCACGGCGGATGTCTACACCCGGGAGAAGCGACACGTGGTGTGCTCCATCTGGGACCAGGTCCTCCAGAAGCTCCCGTCCATGCAACTCGAGGCAGGAAGGGCGGTCCGAGTCGACCTTGGACATGAGGACTGGGAGGACAAGGTGGAGTGCCCGGCCTCACCGAAGGCCTTGTTCAACACACCGCCCTCGAATGCCAGCTGGGATGTGATCCCCGCCAACAAGCCGGCCATCACCAAGATGGCTGCGGATGAGGTGCCCCCGCCTCGGGGTCCACTGACGGTGGTAGCCACCACGGCCCGAAAGGGTCCCACCAAAGCTTACAGCATGCACCTACTGGACACAGAAGGGGTCACAGTGGGGTGCGGTTGGAGGCCGGGACCGATCAAGATTTCGGAGCTGGCGGAGCAGGACTTCCATGCTGAGCCGGAGGTGTACCTGGGATGCACCAGATGTTTCCGGCATTTCACCTTCCCGAACACGTGGATGGCCGTAGAGCCCTACGTAGCACAGGACTCCGAGGCCTCCATCTCCCTCTCCTCGGACACCGACGAGAGCGTGGACACTCAGTCGGACAAGGAGGCGGTCGTCCTCCCGGAAATTGAGTAAGGGGTGGACAGCGCAGGTGCCGAGGGCCCTGATACGCTTCCCCCCCATGCCTCAAGGCAAGGAGGCAGGGGGAGAGGGCGCAGGTGCCGAGGGCCCTGGTACGCCCTCCCCGGCACCCCCCCACAGGCCCAGCCCCGCGGCCAGCGGGGAGCGCAGGTGCCGAAGGCCCTGACACGCAACCCTGCAGGGGCCTGGAGGGGGAGACACAGGTGCCGAGGGCCCTGAGATGTTCTCACCCCTATCCCAGGGGGCCAGTGCCCCGGGAAACCAGGGGACACAGGTGCCGAGGGCCCTGAGATGTCCCCGGGCAGCCCAGGCGGCGGATTGACGGGGTCCGCACCGGGTGGACCGCAGCCGGACCGCTAGACGCACAGATGCCGAGGGCCCTGGAATGCGACAACGGGACCACACGGCATACGTGGAGGGAGGACCTCCCCAACGACCAGCTCGTCCGTTGGTATTGGCAGCTGATGCGATCCGTCCGTTGGGGATGGCATCAATTCTACTCCCATCAGCTGCTGAGGGGAGCTGCCCAGTGGAGCTGGGCAATCCTCCCATTTTGGCACTAATCCTTATGCGGCGTAAAGGATGCACCGTTCGCGATTAAGGTACCAGTAGCACCAATGTGGGTGCTTTGAAGAGTCTGGGCTAAAGCGTTAACCGTAGGTGGTCGCTTGTCTTGACTCTTAATAAGTATCCACTTGGGCCACCATTTTGGCTCAAGTGGACCTTTTGATCTTTGGTCTTGTGATTTGAAATCCCGCCCACCCACACCATGGCGGCGACACCAGATGAGTTGGTGGCACCACCACAGGAAGTTCCTGGAGTGTACACGGACGCAGTGGCTAAGCTCCACAAGACTGCCAGGAACCTCATGGTCCTCAAGGGCATCCCGTGGTTCATCCAAGCGACACTGTCGGATGAGGGCTTTGTCTCGATGGAGGACCTCGCGACCCGGTGGGACTCGCCCGACCGTGCAAGGGAGACGGCGCCGGGGGAGTTGGGCTTCGCCCCCAACAACCACCACTACACGGATGTGACCTCCCGGCTGATCGCGGCCCGCATGTTCCAGGTGGTTCACGCGGCTCAACGATCCATGGGAGTTGGGGCGCATGCAACAGCGGGACCCGGGCCACACACGCCCGGGGACACCGCCCCGAATCTCACGGTCTCGTGCGAACGGGGACAGCTGGAGAGGGTTTGGGAGGAGAAGACCAAGCTCACCAAACCCAAGCTGGCCCTTCAAGGAAGCGACCAGCTGGTGAAGCGCCAGTTCAAGCTCTGCGCAGGAGGCGAGATCGGTTTCATCCCCATGAAATACCTGGTAAGCGCACTCCCGGAGCCAGGAGAACGGCCATGGAAGACCACTAAGAAGAGCACGGTTGATGGCTGGGACCGGGAGGATGAGGTGGAAGAGCGGGGCGAGCCCAAAACTCGCCACCAGCTCGAGAGGATGCACGCGGTGTTCCGCAACACCCTCCTCATGTGCGTCCTCTCGTTCCCGCAGTTCGGCCAGTTCGACATCACCCGGGAGGACTTGGAGAGCTGGTACGAGTGGTTCTATGGTGAGGACATCGGGGGCCGTTTTCCCCCGCCAGAGGACCACGTCCTGGCAATTGCCGAACGCAACGCATGGCGAAAGATTCACGAGAAGATGCATGAGGGCAACACCCTCACATGCTGTCGGTCAGGCAGGACACATTGTTCTGGACACGTGAGGTCTATGAGAAGATCAAGACCTTTTCCAGGGGCCGCCCATCAACCAGGACATCCATGGACTACGCACCACCTCAGAAGGGCAAGAACAAGTCCAAGGGCAAGGGGAAGTCCAAGGGCAAGCCTGGGAACAAAGGGAAGGGTAAGCCCCCCCACCTGAACAATCAGGCGTCCCGGAGCGGTAGCAAGCAGGCAGCCACCGACCCGAAAGGGAACCAGTTCTGCAACAACTGGATGCGCGGGCGTTGCCCGGGCAACTGCGGCCGCACCCACAAGTGCAACCTCATCCTGGCAATGGGCCGCATCTGCCTGGGGGACCACCTCCCGCAGGACTGCCCGGGTTGACTAGGGGCGCTGACCCCTACCCCCCGGGAGGCCTCAGGTGCCGAGGGCCCTGATAGGGCCCGGGGGGGCGAGAAGGGGTGCAAACGCCCCAAGCAGGCACAGAAGCCCCCTCCTGCAGGTGCCGAGGGCCCTGACACAGGGGGGGGGACAGGCCAGTTGGCGGCCATCCTCGGCGGAACAAGGATGGGGACGGCAGAACCAGCGTGCACAACGCCCTCGCCGTGACCAGCACAGCCATACAACC